GAGAAAGAAAGAAAGAACCAAAAAGAAAAAAGGAAAGAAAGAAAACAAGACTAATATACAGCCTGATAAAAGCCGGGACTCTCGCATATTTAGGCAGGGATGCTATAGCTACTTTAAGGTACAAAGCGAGCGGAGATATTGGTCTACAAAGTCGTGAAATCGTAAAGGCGTTTACAAGTATGGTGGGGGCACGAGCTTATCACCCACCTTTGGACGTCTGTAGACTACGCAAATTTGTGGTGCTATATCAGTCTTCTTGGGTTTTTAACAAACTACTTTAAAACCCCATTTACACGCGCTCAAAAAATCGGCACGACACGCCAAATTGTTGGCACCGTGCCTCGTTTACCCGTGCCTAGACTACCTCCGGGAGGTGGTCTAGGCCCCCCCAAAATTTTGAGCACTGGTGCCACATTACATTTGGGACCGATACGTTTACACGTCGAAAATTGGGAGTGCCGTGTCTTAAAATCGTCAGCACGGTGCCAAAAATTTGAGTGCCGTGCCGATTTTTTTAGCGCGTGTAAATGGGGTTTAAAACTTGACAAATCGAAGGCGTTCTTTGCGGCAGTTTTGAGGGATATTTGCTAACTGATCCCAGTTAAAAATTGAAAAAACCGTGCATGGTGTCCTTTACAGACGTTTACTGAGCAATTTGTAGGGTCAATAGAAAACATTTCATGGCAGCGAGAAGGTACGAAATTTCTCTTCGAGTGTTGAAAAATATTTTTGAACAAGAGAAGATAAATTTCGTGTTTTCAAGCGGCCATGTAATGTTCTATTTATTATATAAACACCAATCAGAAATGCCAAACCATTTCATTTTAATATTTTTTTGCTACGAAAGGTGCGAACTATTATTGCCCCCGCACGGATTTCGCCAGGAAGTCGAAATCCCGAAGAGGCACTCTAGTAGCTTGCGTGTATTTTAAGGAAAATACTTACAGCTGAAATATACAGTCAGCATGCCAGAAAAAATCTAGATTTGCTTGAACAGGGGCTGTATGGAATCTTTGGGTAATGATGACGTTTCTATTGTTCTATTGTTAATCATCATCATAATCGGGTCGAGCTCATGCTACAATCACGGTCATGATTTGTTGCCACCTCCGGAAAACACAACATAAACTTACAGTTCTCATAAATAGAAGTATTGCTTTCCTCCCTTCCCTCAATCTTGGTTTCACGAGTTTACTTGAGCATAAACGTCTTCCAAATCAGCATTGAAAGGGAAGCGAAGGAAAAGTTCACGCTCATATAGTTGCATCATGGGTAATCAGGGTAAGATGACGGGAATTTCAAAGATTTGTACTAAAATTCAAAGCCAGCTAATTCTTCCCGAGTCCATATATTTGCCACGTTCTCCTTGAAAAGAGTAACTTATGAGTTCAAAGAAACAATACACTAAATCTGGGGTGCAAAGAAGTCCCGTTCTAACAGTTTTTAGAAAACCTTGATTTCTCCATGCATTTTCTATAATTTTGATACTGTCGAATTCGTGGTTGTCAGTTTGAACGAGAAAGCGGGCTGGTTCGTTTCCCCCTCCGCATATTCTAGCTATAAATCATGCCGAGGTTCACTGCGTACTTTATCTACAGTCGTGGTTTTGAGATCAGTGTTTTCAATTTACGGCCGTTATACATTCAATTTCAATTCACGCTGGGTTTTTAATCTGTACTGAAATATACTTTCATGAAATTTATCAAAATGAACCCGTATGACGCTCACTTATCTGACTCTCCAGATTTGAAAATGACCCACCAGCGAAATGGCTGGTCCCCCGTCACAGGTAATCAACGAACAGCCCCTATAGTTATTNAAAAGGAAAGAAAGAAAACAAGACTAATATACAGCCTGATAAAAGCCGGGACTCTCGCATATTTAGGCAGGGATGCTATAGCTACTTTAAGGTACAAAGCGAGCGGAGATATTGGTCTACAAAGTCGTGAAATCGTAAAGGCGTTTACAAGTATGGTGGGGGCACGAGCTTATCACCCACCTTTGGACGTCTGTAGACTACGCAAATTTGTGGTGCTATATCAGTCTTCTTGGGTTTTTAACAAACTACTTTAAAACCCCATTTACACGCGCTCAAAAAATCGGCACGACACGCCAAATTGTTGGCACCGTGCCTCGTTTACCCGTGCCTAGACTACCTCCGGGAGGTGGTCTAGGCCCCCCCAAAATTTTGAGCACTGGTGCCACATTACATTTGGGACCGATACGTTTACACGTCGAAAATTGGGAGTGCCGTGTCTTAAAATCGTCAGCACGGTGCCAAAAATTTGAGTGCCGTGCCGATTTTTTTAGCGCGTGTAAATGGGGTTTAAAACTTGACAAATCGAAGGCGTTCTTTGCGGCAGTTTTGAGGGATATTTGCTAACTGATCCCAGTTAAAAATTGAAAAAACCGTGCATGGTGTCCTTTACAGACGTTTACTGAGCAATTTGTAGGGTCAATAGAAAACATTTCATGGCAGCGAGAAGGTACGAAATTTCTCTTCGAGTGTTGAAAAATATTTTTGAACAAGAGAAGATAAATTTCGTGTTTTCAAGCGGCCATGTAATGTTCTATTTATTATATAAACACCAATCAGAAATGCCAAACCATTTCATTTTAATATTTTTTTGCTACGAAAGGTGCGAACTATTATTGCCCCCGCACGGATTTCGCCAGGAAGTCGAAATCCCGAAGAGGCACTCTAGTAGCTTGCGTGTATTTTAAGGAAAATACTTACAGCTGAAATATACAGTCAGCATGCCAGAAAAAATCTAGATTTGCTTGAACAGGGGCTGTATGGAATCTTTGGGTAATGATGACGTTTCTATTGTTCTATTGTTAATCATCATCATAATCGGGTCGAGCTCATGCTACAATCACGGTCATGATTTGTTGCCACCTCCGGAAAACACAACATAAACTTACAGTTCTCATAAATAGAAGTATTGCTTTCCTCCCTTCCCTCAATCTTGGTTTCACGAGTTTACTTGAGCATAAACGTCTTCCAAATCAGCATTGAAAGGGAAGCGAAGGAAAAGTTCACGCTCATATAGTTGCATCATGGGTAATCAGGGTAAGATGACGGGAATTTCAAAGATTTGTACTAAAATTCAAAGCCAGCTAATTCTTCCCGAGTCCATATATTTGCCACGTTCTCCTTGAAAAGAGTAACTTATGAGTTCAAAGAAACAATACACTAAATCTGGGGTGCAAAGAAGTCCCGTTCTAACAGTTTTTAGAAAACCTTGATTTCTCCATGCATTTTCTATAATTTTGATACTGTCGAATTCGTGGTTGTCAGTTTGAACGAGAAAGCGGGCTGGTTCGTTTCCCCCTCCGCATATTCTAGCTATAAATCATGCCGAGGTTCACTGCGTACTTTATCTACAGTCGTGGTTTTGAGATCAGTGTTTTCAATTTACGGCCGTTATACATTCAATTTCAATTCACGCTGGGTTTTTAATCTGTACTGAAATATACTTTCATGAAATTTATCAAAATGAACCCGTATGACGCTCACTTATCTGACTCTCCAGATTTGAAAATGACC